GAAGCGTGCTGGGCCCATAACCCAGAGGTAGATGGATCGAAACCATTCTCTGCTAATTGTAAATGATTTGGATCAGCAGATTCTCTCTTTCCATTTTAACCCTGTTCACAAGGCCATATTTAAATAGGACGATACACCCGTAACCACAAGAGCTAAAGCGTAGCCGATGCAAACGTTGCTGCGATTAACAACCTACAGTTCTCCAATCTTCCAACTGAGCTATGGAGGTGTGCATACAAGCTTAAATTGTTCAGCCTGTGTATTGATGCGGAAGGTAATCATCAAACAACAGTTGTCTTGCAAAGCTTCAACATTCACTCGTCTACTGACCCTGGCTGGGGAAAATGTCAAGATTTGGGAAGAGCCCTTTGAGTAACTCGAGGAGCCAAAACAACACATCTTGGGCCGCAGCCAGGTATAGGAGAGGTGTGGTCTGTTGAGCACAAAATTGCCTCTCTGCTAATTTCAAAGGATATTGTTCTATTTGTTTCAACCAACTATGACCTTGGCGCATACTGGTGCAGTTTGCAGTTGAAGGTGAAGCGGCAGAGAGATGAGTTAGTTTCGTGTGTGAGTCTCTGTGTACAGATACAATTTCTTTGAATACAGTGTGCACATTTCATGTGGTTCCATGGTGTAATGGTTAGCACTCTGGACTTTGAATCCAGTGATCCGAGTTCAAATCTCGGTGGAACCTTTCTTTGAGTACGCTGAAAAGAGCCTGCTTCTACATCTCAGGAGGATCTTGTAGCAGGATAGTGGTTGCACTATAGAAGATGGAGAGTGACTTGAGAATAAGTCTATCTAGTCAAGGGAATAATTTGAGTGGCGTTAGGACAACAACCTGGTCCTTAAAACCTCTAAAACCAAGAAGTTGACTGCAGGAGAACAAAGAAGGAAGTCCACCATATGTATGGAGAAATTGAATTTGTGGAGAACTTCAAGTTTCTTGAAGTCAATATGTCAAAACATCTTACAAGGATCTCCAACACATCACACCGGGTTAAAAAGGCCCAGAAAAGACTCTACTTCCCCGAGAAACTAAAACAAGCCAGGCTCCCAGAGAAACTTTGTGAAGAAACAAGGGGATGAGTGGTAACTTGCTCACTCTGCCCTTTACCTCCACACTACATTACTGTTAAGAGCTAGATATTGAACTCTACTGGAGCTGTTTGCACTACTCTCCAGCTGCCAGCTGTCATACATTCCATGCATTCCGTTTCACAAGCTTCACATACAGATACAGCATTCCCTGGTGGTCTAGTGGCTAGGATTCGGTGCTCTCACCGCCGCGGCCGGGGTTCGATTCCCGGTCAGGGAACACTCTTTACTTACTGAATTTCACGGCCGTTTCATTCAAAACAACTCCCACTTAAAACGATAGATTGTGCTGACCTTCTGTGTGGTTCCATGGTGTAATGGTTAGCACTTTGGACTCTGAATCCAGCGATCCGAGTTTAAATCTCGGTGGAACTTTGCTTTGATTAGGTACATGTTTACTCAATAGACTATCGTCAGTGCCTCAGACACAATGAACATAAAAGAAAAACCACCTTGACTTTTATTTTTTAAGGGCCTCTATTGCAAAAGGTAAAGAAGAACGATTGGATCTGGTATGCGCTGCCTTTGTCAAGGTTGAAAATTGAAACGGCCGAGTAAAGTACATTTTTGCCAGCCTTGGAGTGCTAAACATCCAGCAGAGTGGCACAGCGGAAGCGTGCTGGGCCCATAACCCAAAGGTCGATGGATCGAAACCATCCTCTGCTAATTGTTAATGCTTTGGATCAGCAGATTCTCTCTTTCCATTTGAACCCTGTTCACAAGGCCATATTTACATAGGACGATGCACACGTAATCACAAGTGCTAAAGTGTAGCCGATTCAAACGTTGCTGCGATTAACAACCTACAGTCCTCCAATCTTCCAAATGAGCTATGGAGGTGTGCATACAAGCTTAAATTGTTCAGGCTGTGTATTGATGCGGAAGGTAATCTTCAAACAACAGTTGTCTTGCAAAGCTTCAACATTCACTCGTCTACTAAAAAAAATAAAAATCTGATGTCACCATCATAATGTTCTAACAATGTTATCACCAAACATTTTAAGAATGTTTTTAAAGAACGTTATCCTACCTTTCAGAATAACGTTCTGGGAACCAAAAGGAAACTTCCCGCTGAAAACATTCCAAGAACAATGAATGTAACATTCTCAGAATGTTTTTAGAACCAAACATGTCTAGCTGAGTATGAGCTCTATGAAACCCTCCAATCCGGCTTCAGACTTCATCACAGCACGGAGACCGCCCTCATCAAGATCATCAACGATCTCCTCATTGCTGCTGACTCTGGCCGCCTCAGCATCCTCATCCTCCTGGACCTCTCTGCAGCGTTTGACACTATCTCCCACACCATCCTCCTCAACGACCTTTCTGACATCCTAGGTGTCACTGCCCTCTCCTGGTTCGCATCCTACCTCCACAACAGGGAACAGTTTGTTACCATCAATGGCTCGAATTCCCCTCCAGCCCCAGTCATTCATGGCGTCCCCCAAGGCTCTGCGCTTGGCCCCCTCCTGTTCACTATTTACATGGTACCCCTCGGCCAGATCATCTGCCATTACGGACTCAACTTCCACTGCTATGCTGATGATACCCAAATATATCTCAGCACTACAGCTTCTTGGAGGGGTCCACTATTAGCTGCGTCATAATGAGGCTGGAGGTGTTTGTCACAATAAGAGGCCAAACACTGCAGACAGGATTTACAGGCTCTCAGTTTTTTTTTTTGAGTAGAAATACAGGAATTCTGCTCCCACCTAAGGCCAACGTTACAATATTACAAAATGTCCCTAAAAACTTACCAAAACATAAAAAATGTGAAAACGTTTTAATTTCTGCTCCATAGGCTCCCTACAACAACATCTGAAGGGTTTTTCTATATATGGGCTTTACAGGGTTAAAGCTCATCCCATAATGTTTGATTGACAGCTGATCTCTGTGCAGTGAAGACATGAACAATCAGCTCTCAGCAACAATGAAGGACACACAATGAGTTTAAGAAGTACTAGAGTTCCTCAAATGACTTCAGGCTATTTCAGTTTACACAACTCAGCTGTGGTTCCATAACCATAAAGCAAAACTAGTAGTGGTGGTCTAATGGATAGTGAGGTGGGCTGAACATCGGAAGGCTGTGAGTTCAAATCCCGCCAGGAACACCACCACTAGTGTGCCCTTGAGTAAGGCACTTAGCCCTTAGTTACTCCAGGTAGAATGTCCCGGTAATCGGTAATTGTAAGTCGTTTGGATAAAAGTGTCAGCTAAATGAAATGTAATGTAACTCCAGCATGTAGCTGCTGAGTGAATGTGGTCTGGACTCTGTGGAGGAGAGTCATGGTTTCAGAGATGCTGTAGAAGGACATAATACCTGCTCTGTGATCCAGGTACACTCCTACTCTCAATAGGTGAATACTCATGTTTTACTTCTACACATTGATATCTGATTTTTAAAACATCACAGACAGAAAGGTATATCCGTCATTTAATGGCAACCTATTGAAATTCTGAATCCATAGGTGTGTCTCCCATCACCCACATCCCCTGACTATTCTCTCAACTTAGTATTTACATTATTATATTCAAAGAAAATCAGTAATATCTTTAAAAACGACAAGTATTTTTCTATCAGCTGTGCACTGTTATGGTGTAAATATATCCTATCTACCAATTGGATCAAATATAAAAGTCAGCCGAATTAGTGTTGATACTGCAAGGAGACGTATACTGTGAAAAGAAATGTAAGATGTTGTTTAATTGTTGATATATTTATGATCCACGTCACATATACAGTTTCAGCGGCAGTTCTTCAAGCTTGTCCAGAATTCTTCTCATCAGGGCTCTATAAATAAAGAACTACAGCAGATGTGTAATATGTAATGCAGCCAAACCGTGTATTACAATGCCGTTATGTGATGAATTCCAAAGAGAAAAGCAAGCACACTCGGAATAAAGTATTATTTTGATTATTTGAGATGTTTTCGGATTTCACATTGCATAAACACCATATCCCAACGTGCATTGTGGCAAACACATCCAATCAGCGAGCTGAGGATCTTTCCTACATCTGTTTCCGGTATTGTTCCTGTAATGAGAGTTCACATTTGTGCTACATTGAAGGGTGGAATTGACTACACATTGTCAGAAACATAAATTGCTTCAGATATAACTCGAATTCCCCCCCAGCCCCAGTCAATCATGGTGTCCCCCAAGGCTTTATGCTTGGCCCCCTCCTGTTCACCATTTACATGGTACCCCTCGGCCAGATCATCTGCCATCACGGACTCAACTTCCACTGCTATGCTGATGATACCCAAATCTATCTCAGCACTACAGCTTCTTGGAGGGCTCCACCAGCTGCGTCATAATGAGGCTGGAGGTGTTTGTCACAATAAGAGGCCAACCACACCAGACAGGACACATCTTCAGCTCCAGCATAGCAGTGATCAGCAGGAGCTTCTTCAACTCTTCTGTTCCTCCGCTAAATCTGCTAACGTGATGCTTTTTCAGCTCTGGTTTCAATGTCATCCCGGTTTTACAGTCTAAAAAGTGTTGGAAAAGTTTTTTATCACTCTCTGAAGAACAAGAAGAAATGTATTTTACCTTTTATTACTTTAAACTCGATGATTAAGTTTCAGATGTGCAAACTACGGTGGCCGGCAGGTGCAATCTCGCCACAACGGCCCAAAGACTTACATTAGGAGTAACGTGCTGCAGCTTCAATAACAATGAAACATATTAACAGCAATGTGCCAAAACACATGCAAATGAAGAGTCATCTCCACCAACCTGACGAAACATGTGCAGGGTTTACTCAAAGATGTTCACATGTTTTTCTGAAAATAAATGAAAATCTGAATTTAATATTATTTTCCTAACAATAGATTAAAAAAATGCGAATAACATAATTTAGAGATATTTAAAAAATAAATAAAAACACAACACTGACATTTTCATCAGAGCTATTTTATTATCAAGAAAAACCCCAACATTTTATTTTGTACAGACACATAAATGTGGCACTCATCTCACATCTTGAAAATAGAAACACAATTTATTGCAAACTCATCCTGTTGGCTTTTCTTTTAATGTGTGTTATTTCCTTCTTCAAAATGTCCTTTATGCATTCAACACATTGAGACTTAGTAACAAATTGAATACATTTAGAATAAAATATCTACAATGAAAGAAGCTCTGGTGCTTTCTCTCTCTCATGCTTTACAAGAGAAACAACAAAATACAAATTAATCAATATTCAACAAATATTTGGAGCAAAGTTTACATTTCAATGCAGAGAAATATCAGTTGAGGTTAACAGAAATGCTCCTGAGCAGTGACAGCCTCCATGGCTAAACAGACACAGGAAGGAGCGCCGCCTAAAGAAATTCCAACATCTACAGAACAACTGATGAGAAGATGCTAAAGCACATCCCATAATGTTTGATTGACAGCTGGTCTCGTGCAGTGAAGACATGAACAATCAGCTCTCAGCAACAATGATGGACACAATGAGTTTAAGAAGTAGAAGAGTTCCTCAAATGACTTCAGGCTATTTCAGTTTACACAACTCAGCTGTGGTTCCACCATAAACCAAAACTCCAGCATGTAGCGGCTGAGTGAATGTGGTCTGGACTCTGTGGAGGAGAGTCATGGTTTCAGAGATGTTGTAGAAGGACAGAATACCTGCTCTGTGATCCAAGTACACTCCTACTCTGGAGGACCGAGGACCTGAGACGGGAGTGTTGATACGGTTGTAACTAAATGAATAACTGTTTTGTTTACACTCTAACGCCCAGGATTTGTCATTGTATCCAAATAAACATTCATACCCATCCCCTGCTCTCCGGATATTCTTGTATGAGACTGCTACACCAACTGCTCTCCCTGTACACTCCACCTCCCAGTAACAACGTCCAGTCAGACTCTCTCTACTCAGGACCTGAGGCCAATCAGTGAATCTGTCTGGGTGACTAAAATAAGACTGTTGTTGTTCCATGAGTGTTGCTTTTCTGCTCCCCTCAGATAATACCAGCAGTGTGTTTGCTGTGTTTGGATCCAGAGTGACCTCCTGTGAATATTTTAAGAACCCAGCTCTGGTGGTGGGTTCTGCTGCTGGCAGTAAAACATCCACTCCAGTCGATGAGACGTTTGTCCATTCCTCTCTCAGGACGTCCTGTAGTTTGTCTCTGACTGCTGACAGGGCCGCCGTCAAGTCCTCAAAGTAGCTCAGAGGACGGATGTTGATGCTGGAGGAGTGTGTAGCTTCACTGAGGGCTGGCAGTGAGGGGTAGCTGTGCAGAAACTGGTTGTGATCCTCTGTGTGAGACAGCAGCTTCAGCTCAGCGTCTCTCCTCTTCAGCTCAGAGATCTTCTGCTTCAGCTTCTTCTGAAGCTCTTTGGCTCGACTCACTTCTCTCTTCTGCTGGGATCTGACCTGCTGCTTCACATCAGAGCTTCTCTTCTCCATGAGACGGATCAGCTCAGTGAACGTCTTCTCACTGTCCTCCACTGCTTTATCAGCAGAGCCATTGACGGCCTTCACATCCTGCTGAAGCAGCTTCACCTCCTTCTCTCCGTCCTGGATTCTCTGCTGGATGTTTAGTCGACTCCCCTCCAGCTCTCTCTGCCTCTCAGTCCTCTCTGCTGCAGCTGACACTGTGTCGTGGCCTTTGTGTTCGTCCACAGAGCAGAGATAACAGATAAACTGCTGATCAGTGCGGCAGAACATCTTCATCACCTCGTCATGATGAGAGCAGATGTTCTCCTGGAGCTTCTTGGAGGGCTCCACCAGCTTGTGTTTTTTAAACGTAGCTGCGTCAAAGTGAGGCTGGAGGTGTTTGTCACAATAAGAGGCCAGACACTGCAGACAGGACTTACAGGCTCTCAGTTTTCTCCCAGTGCAGACATCACAGGCCACATCTTCAGCTCCAGCATAGCCGTGATCAGCAGGATCTTCTTCAAGTCCAGTCTTCTTCAGCTTCTCCACTAAATCTGCTAACAACGTCTTCTTCAGCAGGACAGGCCTCGGTGTGAAACTCCTTCTACACTGAGGGCAGCTGTGGACTTTCTTCTTATCCTCTCCATCCCAGTGGTGTTTGATACAGTCCATGCAGTAGTTGTGTCCACAGGGAATAGTTACCGGATCCTTCATTAGATCCAGACAGATGGAACAAGACATGGTTTCCCGGTCCAGCTGAACTCCTTTCTGCACTATCTCACCTCTCAGTGATAGTTACGGACTGCAGACAGAAGGTAAAATATCCACTTTCTCTGAACAGTCTCTGACAGACAACAAATCTCCTCTCCTCCTGCTTTTGCTCGCTCAATGAGGAATGAGGAATGAGGAAACAGCTTTCTCTTTTAACATGTTGCCAACCTTTGAAGGGGAGGGAACATTCAAATGCCTTGATAGGGTGTAGCTCAGTGTGTTTGGGAGCAGGAATCAAGGGGAACAGGTTTAACTGCTTTCAACAAACTTTGTGTGAGAGGCAGGGTGTGTTTGCAAAACACATGCAAATGAAGGGAAATCTACACCAACCTGACGAAACATGTGCAGGGTTTACTAAAAGATGTTCACATTTTTTTCTGAAAATAATAGACAATATTAATTCATTATTATTTTCTTAATCCTAAAAATAAATTAAAAATGAAAATATCTTGTTTCAGAAAAATAATTTAGAGATATTTTTTAGATTAAAAAAACATAAGACTGAGATGTTTTCCTCTTAGCTCTTTTATCAACACGAAAAACCCCAACATTTTATTTTCTACAGACACTTAAAGGTGGCACTCATCTCACATCTTGAAAATATAAACCCCATTTATTACAAACTCAACCTGCTAGCTTTTCTTTTGATGTGTGTGGTTTCCTTCTTCAAAATGTCATTTGTGCATTCAACACATTGAGACTTAGACACAAATAAAAGACCTTTAGAATAAAATATCTACAATGAAAGAAGCTCTGGTGCTTTCTCTCTCTCGTGCTTTACAAGAGAAACAACAACATACAAATACATCAATATCGATATTCAACAAATATTTAGAGCAAAGTTTACATTTCAATGCAGAGAAATATGAGTTGAGGTTAACAGAAATGCTCCTGAGCAGTGACAGCCTCCATGGCTAAACAGACACAGGAAGGAGCGCCGCCTAAAGAAACTCCAACATCTACAGAACAACTCATGAGAAGATGTTAACCCTGTAAGGTACTGTTGTTATTTTACAACATGACTTTAAGCTATCCTAAAAAAGTCAGTAAATGTTTTTGTTTTTTTAAAGACTACGTTTACATGGTCAAAAGGTCCTTTTGTTCAGCCTCACAATGCTATTGGGTAGTACATGTGTTTATAGGTCCTGCCCTCTGGAGCATACACTCACACAACTTCCGAATCTTCAAACGAGCAACATCTCTTTGTTTTATTGGACTGGATTTGTGAGATTCAAGTAAATAAAATGCCTCAAGTGTTTTTTGTGTGATTATTACAATGTCTAGAACATGTACATATGTAGTTATTGTGGAATACATTCATCACATTTGATTTTGAGCAACTTATGTCTTTGTTGTAATATTACAACACGGGGTCAGTGTGGTAGTCAAAATAATATAAGCACCTGTCATGGAGATTACCCTTCTTATATGTTCACATATATAAATAAAACACTTATAGAAATATAATGTCTTTGATAATTCACTATAACTAAGTTCTAAATGTGTCCTCTGTTAAGATTTTTGAATTAAGACCAGAATTTAATAAATTAATAAATTATTTCTGATAAAAGTTTGTGAAATTATATCTGTAGCAATATGTTAAACTCTACTTGTATCTTATCAGTTAGTTACTTACAAAAATATATTTAACTCTGGTTCTTGCAGAAACAGTTTCTGAAATGTTTTGGGACACTTGGATGTATCCCTTTTAGTATGATAATCAGCCTGTTAGCATTAGCCAGACAGCATTGTGTGACTTGTTGAACTGGTTTACCTGCATGTATCGGTGTAGGTATTCCTTTTATTATGATAAGGCTAAGCCAGGTAGTATTGTGTGACTCAAGTGTACAATGTAAATAGGATTCAGATACTTGTTACATCGGGACACCTGGAAGGGGGTGCTGCATGCATTCCTTTTAGTATGATAATAGGCTAAGCCAGACAGAATGAACACTTGTCCCACCACACTATTGTTATAGCGTAATACAGCGTAATACAGCGTATTTATTACATTACATTACATGTCACTTGTTAGACGCTTTTATCCAAAGCGACTTACATACTCAATACTGTGGGCAATCCCCACAGGAGCAATTTGGGGTGAAGTGTCTTGCCCAGGGACACAACGACATGCTGACTGCAGTGGGGTTTGAACCTGTGACCTCCTGATCCGAATACCAACTCACAACCCACTACACAGGCCTCCCATTTATGATATTCATTAGAGATCACATGGTATTCCATATGATGTGTGTTACTGAGTTGGGTCACACACAGTTAGAGAGACAATGGTCGTTCTGAATCATCGATAGATGTATTCATTTTAAGTGAGCTGACACCGAGGTTAGAGGAAGTTCAGAGAAGGCCTTAGGTTATAAAAACAGTTAACCTTTGTTAGTGAACTAATCCTAAGGATGAGATGATGACGTTTAAACATAAACAAGTGTAGCTTTCAGAGATATAAACATGTGACATTTGTGTGGGCTGCATGATAAAATGTGTGTAAGTTAAAAATGCTTAGGACCAGCACCGATGATGACATCAAGGAGCCTGTTGAATGCTTCTGGCAGAAACAGTTTCTGAAATGTTTTGGGACACTTGGATGTATCCCTTTTAGCATGATAATTAGCCTATTATCATTAGCCAGACACCATTGTGTGACTTGTTGAACTGGTTTAGCTTCAACTGCAAGATGTGTTGTTTTGGCTCCTCGAGTTACTCAAAGGGCTCTTCCCAAATCTT